GCATATTCATACCGATATCACCATTTAAGTCAACAGAGGTGAAAACATACACTGCATTAGAAAGACAAATGCAGTATTGCCTTTCTACTCTCAGGATCCTTGTCCACTTTTGGAAGGACTGAATTTAGTCTAAGGTTTCGTTTTAAAAATATATATATACACTGCGTGTGAATTTATAACTACCCGAGCAAACAGAAGGCTTATGAATATTTTAAAACGACCTTGTTTCTGTTGAGTTGTGTGAGTGTGATATGTATTTTCTAACAACTTGATAACTAAGATCAGTTGAAAAAATAATCAATTACTCCTTCAAAGGGATTCGGCATGATTTGACTAACATGCAGACTTTATCAACATTTCTACGAATTAGCATGGGGATGCATACAAAAGGTCGAAAAATAATCCAATATTATTATTTTTGTTTTACAATGTATTGTATTTTTTCCCCAATGTAATACACGTACAAGTATTTTATACTATTATATTATTTAGAAAATTGCATTTCAAAAAGGTTTTAATTTAAAAGCGATTAGATTTATTGTGATCTCTATAGATATACAATACTATACAATTATTGCTGTTTTTGAGGTCAATACGATGATTTAGACACCTGAGAAATACATTTACCGAACCCAAAGGCAAGGTAAATTTTATACTTCGAACGTGGCTATATCATCGTATTGACCAAGAAAAATTGCTTTGTTAAGTGATTCAATGATAAAATGATACAAACTCTTTAAGCAATTCATGCCATCTTACGTGTTTACATTTGTTGAAGTCCCAGCCAAACATAATGAGAGAGACAGGGTTAACAAAAATATAACCAGTTGTATTAATTTGAAATTTTCGAATCTAGTTTACGTGCAAAGTAGAAAAAAATGTCAGGCACGTATATACGATTGACTTAAGAAAGAAAAGGGGGCATTATAAGGAAAAAAATTGACAACTTACCTGAAAAAGAAATCTTCGACTAGCCCCCCCCCCCCCCCCCACACACACACACACACAAAAGAGAAGAATTCTTCCACTCCAAATTTTATTTTGGGGGAGGTTAAGGTCCATAAACGGGGAGATCAGCCTTTCAATGAGCATTTTTATACTAAATGAAAAGTAAATATTGAAGTTCACAAAAATGTGGAGGGAGGGCAGCCTCCCTCCTGCAACCACCCACCCTCACCCCAGATTCTATGTGCCTAAATGTTACGTTCACCCGAGTGGAAGTCGGGTACAAGGGAATAACTTTCCAAAACTATTTGTATCAATTTGAAATTTCCCTATGTATTCTTAATTCAATGTAAAAAAAAAACCTTATGTTCATAAAAATTGTGTTAGTACATAAAATATATGGAGATAACGAACAGTATTCAAGCTGAAAAGTCTATTAAACAATACAAATTTTGGAGCAGAGCAAACACGGACCTCTAAAACACCAGAGGTGGGATCAGGTGCCATGGAGGAGTGAGCATCCCCTGCCGACCGGTCACACCCACCGTGTGCTCCTTGTCATGAACGGGAAATAACGGAAAAATCCGTCGACAATTCAGTGTGTAAATAACAATGGCCTAACAATTAGTATGAAAAAAGTCAGTCAGCATTTGACTTAATGATAAATTGTATTTGCTGACAAGGACATTGTATCTACCATAGAACTTACGAAATGACGACTTTAAACGAGACTTCTGATATTCTTGTTTCATCAACTTGTTTGTCAGTAACTTACCGCGTATTAGAAATTGATCATACGTAGAGCATGCTCTGGCATATCGAATCAACTGAGAAATATAAACCCCGTATGCAGGTGATGAAGGTATATCTTGCTGCATAAGCAGGGGCGTAGCTTCTATTGTGGCAATGAGGCAACTGCCTGACTAGATTTTTCACCACCACCACCCTTTCCCATAATCAACAATACATTGCAGATAATACGTAAAATTAATGGCATTTCTTTTAACATCTTAAGCAGTTCTATAATGTTGAATTGAAGTTTTAAAGAAAGAAGAAAAGTTTCATAAGATGCGCTTTTAATGTTTCAAAAGTTTTAGTAAACATATTTATTAACTCCTTTACATTCTTTTACAATATGTAGTATCATGATAAGTCTTGAATAAAGAAATCAGTACAACAAATGAAATTTCATTGCATTTTAAAACCCAAAACTCCATTTTCTGTCGGAGCCCCCCCCCCCCCCCACCAAGACACAATCCGGAACCTGCTGGGGGATCAAGGCGGCCCCAGACCTCTCGTTGCTACATGTATGGTTTTGCCTCACTAGAATTTAAAGTCAAGCTACGCCCCTGATAAGTAAGGGATCGAAGTTGACGATTGAAAAGTTAAAGTCATCACGTTTATCATAAAGCTTGGTAGTTAGATAACCATTAACGTCTTTTTCTAGTAAAATATCCAAATATGAAACAGATGTGTCAGACTCTGTGGTATCTTTTATTTCAAGCTCACCGGGATATATCGTATCGACATAAGAATGGAAATAACCATTGTTAATTAACAATACGTCGTCGATATATCTAAATGTTGAATTGAAGTTTTCTTCTTTTCATGGAAAGATTTTGAACAAATTCTGCCTCATATGAATTCAAAAATAGGTCTGCTAATAAAGAGGCGCAATTGGTACATGTAATACAAATTTTTTTTTTTTGCAAATTAAGGAAGGCCCTATTCACCTCGGTAAAGAATTATTGCTGAGGAGAATTAATTTCAGTGAACTCAGATTTTTCTTACTACCATTAACCACTATTTTTGATTTGGTTAATAATATGAGAAATCCGCAGCATCGAATTTAATTTTACATTATATTACATATATATAATTTAATTTTGTTTGTATACTAGCCTCTGATTGGTTAATACCCAAAAAGAAACACAAATTATTTCTGTATAACCTGGTTTGGTATGGGGACACCCCCCCTGACAACCAGCTGAATCATCTGTATCCATACAATCCTCTCATTTCCAGTCCTCGGGATTCATGGAAAATTCCAGATTTAATAAATGTACCTTTAATTTCAAACAATAATTCGATCTTACCACATGTAACCAAACAACATGGCTGCTATGCCTATGTATCAGTTTTTACCTCCCCTCGATTCCCATCACTTCCGTTACTATGGTTGTATTATTGAGCGGCAAATTTGAACTGATAAAAAGTAACGAAATTTTACACCCATAGTTATTTAATGATTTTAAAATTAAATTATAAGGAATGACTCTAATTCTTGGCCAAATTATTCGAGTATAACCTGGTTTGGGTCAGTTTACGCTGTTTTATAATCCGCTTCGCGGATTATAAAGCGTAAACTGATCCAAACCAGGTTATACTCGAATAATTTGGCCAAGAATTAGAGTCATTCCTAAAGTAAATCTAGTACAGTTTACACTCACCTAGATGAAAAATGACTTCATAAACCCGGGCCACCCCCTACCCCCTTAATACATTTATAAGGAACATTTTTTACTTGAAAGACAATAAATGAAGTGAAATGTGTACCACAAGTAATGAATTCAGTATAACTTCTTGATCTCGAGTTTCGTTTTTTACATTCCAGTTTGAAATGAAATAGTCGTAAATATATATATATATATATATATATATATATATATATATATATATATATATATATATATATATATATTCGTACTTTGCTTAACATGTTTAAATTAGATAAATTATTTGTTCAATGAGCCGGGCAATTACAATCATTTGCACTGTTTTTATTAAATCAGTGGTCCAAGTACTGTAAATAATGAGGGTACATGTATTCGGTATCTTATAATATTCCATCAGTAATAATACGATTTCTTTCTTTTTGAATAGTCAAAACGAATATTTCTATTTCAAAAATACGGCAAAGGAAGGCAGGCAACAATTAATCGACTATACGTTAAATTTACGAAAACCCAAATGTATACACAAATATGTACTAGTACTTGCTAGTCTAGTATATAATATATTGGTACTTACTAATCTAGTACATATTTCTTTCAGTGGTTATTGTAGTATATATGCAGTAATAATTATGCGAGATGCTAAATATTTTGCCATTGAATTTTAGTTGAAAGCAAATTCTTGTTTTCAAGAGTTTTAATCTCAAACAAATGCCAATAATCGCTATTTACTTGTAAGAACATGATAACTATCATCACTTTTTCGTCACTTAAAAAAAAGACGGAGATATAATTTGCGCAAAAAGTGCCACCACAGAATAGTACTTTGGTACTCTTGGGAGTTCTACAAATGTAAGGCGGATTTTCTCAAATTTAGAATTCCAAAATTATACATAGTTCGTGTATGTATTAGCCTTTTAGGATGCTATAAATCAAATTTGACAAGATTTCCATTGTCAGATCGCTTTAATGGGAGTTCGCATGCAGTGCACCAGGTGGCAAGTCATATTTCATTGTATATATTCGTGCATGTATACTTTAAAAACACTCCAAATGCTTATGTGTTTCCTAAAAAAGTTGATTCAAGAGATACATAATTTATTTTTATTTATCTGTTTGTGAAAATGGTATTTCAGAACAAAACATGGCAGTTGCACATTCAAACAAACGTGATGATAATTATCACCATTAATATATACATAAAAAGAAAAATGGTATCGATTGCATAATATAGGTCGATGCAAAACATCCGGTTTTTCTTCGTAACTTTTTGCTAGATGACGTGATTTTGGATTTACAATGAAAGTTCATCCCTTCATTTTAGCATCCTCAAAGAATGTTTTTTGAAGCAGTATCAAAGTATTGGCACAGATGTCAATGAAACCGGATCTGACAGAATTGCAATATCCGGGTTATCGAAGTTTGCCCAAGAGGAAGCGATATTTGAGAAAAATGATACAAATAGTTATAAAATTCCAGATCATTGCTTCTTTATGTTGACTTAAATTAGCATTTAGATCGGGAAGTCGAGTACAAATAGCATATATCAAAATGATGCTCCTTTGATCTTTTTTTTTTTTTTTTTTTTTTTTTTTTTTTTTTTTTGCGTGACGTCAGGTAAACCTTGTACTTTGCCATCGCGAACAAATTTTAGCTGAAATGAAATTGAAGTACCAAGTTGAATGCCATATTAAGTTAAATTAGTTTTTTTATGATCCTGATGGCGTTTTGTCACCTGAGAACTTGACGCAATGCTTGTCCAAGAGAACAGAAAACTAAGACCAAGTAGAGATGTGTGCATTGCGTAAACCGAGATGCTATGCTATAATAACTGTCGACAGTCTGAGGAATCGGAACCACTGCTCCTAGGCTGTCAGGCTGGTATGGTACAGTAGACGGACTTGAGTTGACAGTGGGTTGATTTTTTACATTAGATCTCGTTTGACATGGCTCTTTTACTGAAATAAGAAACAGAATGGCTCTGATACCCAATTTATCCGAAAGAAATATTTCTGTTATAAATACAAATCAGTTGGATGAGTAACCGCCTAATTTTTTTTAAAGTTTATCAAAAGTTAAGGGCAACACTTTAGTTCCTATATAAATTTAAACAAGAGGCCCATGGGCCTTGATTATCACCTGACCACATATGACCACTTAAGTCCACCTGGAACTGGAACTCTCGCATCCTGTGCAAAAATTTACAGAGATAACAAACTGTGATCAATGTCATAAATCTTGTAAAAATACGAAAAGTAAAAAAGGCAAAAACACTGGAATACACCAGAGGTGAAATGAGGTGCCTAGAAGAAGCAAACATCCTCTGACGATCGGTCACATCTGCTGAGAGCCCACTGTATTTATCAGGTAAACACAGGAATCCGTAACCAAAATCAGTATAAAACAATGACTGAACAATTGGTATGAAACGTGTCAATAAAAATACAACTCAAGGTTTTACTTGCAAACAAGGTCATTATAATGACCATAGAATTTGCAAAATACAGAATTTATACGAGATTGTAAGCCTGTACTAACAACTTATTTGTCAGTAGCTTGTCTAGGTTTTAAAAATTGATTGCACTCGAATCATGCTCTTTCCGAATCAGTTGGAAGACATAAACACCATATGCATGTGATTGTGGAATAATATTTCTACATAAATAGGAGACGACGTTGCCGATGGAAAAGTTGACCTTATTCCGTTTTCACATAGTTTAGTTGCTAGTTTGCCATTAACGTCTTCAGTAAAATATAGAAATATGAAAGAGATATGGCAGACTCTCAGGCGTCTTTTATTTCGAGTTCACTAGGATATTTCCAGTCGATTTATAAGTAAAAGTAACTATTGTTAGTTGATAAAACGTCGTCGATATATTGGAATGTCGAATTAAAGGCAAAAGCAAAAGTTTACTGCTCAGGTAGGAGTTTTTGAAGAAATTCTGCTTCATAAAAATACAAAACAGGCACGTAGCATTAGGGGGGCCGGGGGTCCTAGTTTTTCTCAAGCATAACTTTTTACCATTGAGAATGGTCACTGAAAGGCCGGTCCCCCACTTTTTGTTGCAGAGTAGGCAAATAAGGGTAATAACTTTTTTTTTCTCTGCCCCCTTTCAAAAACGATGCTACATGCCTGTAAAAAATAAGTCAGTTAATAAAGAAGCATTATTTGTGCTCACTGGAATCTAACAGATTGTTGGAATACCTGACCTCCAAAGACTATAAATATTCTCAATGAAAAACCCAAGCATTATTTTAATATCAACTTTAGAGTACTTATATGTAGAATCGAGTGTTTTTTAACAAAGAATTTTTGTACATTTTGTACATGGTCAATCACAAGCTATGACAATTTCCCGAGTTCCATTTTTAATGAAGAACACAGCTGTTTTGATTACAAGCTGTTCTTTTACTAGTAATCTTACTGGACAGAACCTCTCTACTAAAAACATGAAAATCTTAACTGCAGCTCACCTAATGTCTACGGAATAGAATGTTCCCTATGTGGGCTTATTTATGTTGGAGAAACTAAGGGTTCACTTAATAAAAAAAATAGCGGGGCACAGATTTCAAATTAACAACGGGGACCAGCAGCTTCTCTACAAGCACTTAATTTACCTGATCATTCTATTTTGTCAATGAAATTTTGGATTCTAGAAAAGATTTACCATCATACTAGTATCCCATCATTGACACCTTTCCATAGACATCGAGAAGAATACTGGGTTAGGAAATAAAGCACAGCCTTTCCATATGGTAGCAATGACGATGTCGATAGTGTTGGGACTCTTTCAAGTGTTGCAATGTGAATGTGATGGGGCTTTTTATCAATACCCAGAGACATCAGCCTAGTATGGACATCGGTTTTACAATCAACGTATTATACCCGATGTCTCTTTTTGATTCACTAATACCTAAGTAAATAAACAGTTAGGTCTTCATCACATTCGCACCAACTTTACTCTGTCCCTTTGAAAGTTTTAAATAGTCTATTTGAAAAAAAAATCAAGGAAAGTCCATATTTGGATCCTTCGACACCAGAATGCAGACTCGGATCTGTGATTATGGACATTGCAAATCACAGACTTTTTAAACCGCCACGTTTTACGGAAGAAAATACTGCTCAAACAACACGTTTGCCCATGCAACTCCAATTTGCCAACAAAGGAATTGACCCAATTAATATAAGTAATATTCTTAATCACAAAAGGGTCAAGTCTTGTATTCCGCCATATTTCAAGTTGAAGTCCACACCTTGTATTTCTTGCAAATATACATCGAATATTGTTTCCAAACTTATTAATACAGAAAACTCTACAGTGCCTATATATCGAACATCTGAAACATAATCCTCCAACGATTTCATCTTCTTCTTCACCCTACAACTATAGTCCTGCTGGACACCTCATTACTGGTGACGTAAATATAATAAATAATGAGGATCTTAAATCACTTATTTTACAAAGGCCAAAATTTAGGGAACTCCAATCTTTAAACTGGCATCATAATTTCATATATATTATAAATTCTTTGGAAAATTACAACAGGCGATGGACCAAACATGAAAAAGAAGACCTTGGTACTTTGTCAGAATGGATTAAAAGTATCAGTTGAATGTTGAAATCTCGCATTAAGCGATTGAGGGGCAATATGAAAACCATCTATCCTTCAGTCTTCAATGATTCAGAAAAGAAAAAAGAATTAGATAGATTACACGATCAATATGTACTGGCACCAGCTGACAAAGCAGGTAACAACATTGTCTTTGTAAGATTCATTATTTTAATTCTATTTTAGAGGAGCAAGGATTGAATTCTACAAGTGGTAATCCAACTTATACCCATAGCACTCTTTCTAAGGAGTAAATTCTTCATAATCATATTCAGTTTTAAATATTTTTAATATTCCCAACAAACAAATTGAACTCGAAACACCATACTGGATTCATAAACTACATAAAATCCTTAAAAAGATACATAGTGGGTTCCAGTAAATGTTCTAACAAGCCTCTTTCTTAACTCCTCACTAAAATAGCAGTGAAGGAGGAACTTCAGGAGTACTGTACAACAATATATTCGAGAAGTGGAGTCAATCAGATGTGGATACTTAAAAACTCCAAGAAACCTTTACAAAATTTGAAATCACAAAATTTTAGCAAAATCAATAACATCAAAACTTACGACTTTACAACACTTTATACAACCATTCCAAATGATAACTTTAAGTCCGACCTTTTTGACATCATAGACAGCTGCTTTTACAATAAAAATGGAACTCGTAAATTTACTTACCTTGTCATTTGCAAAATTATTTTGTTAAAAAAATCTATTTGTACACACAAGTACTCTGAGGTTGATTTTAAAAAGATGCTTGAGTTTCTGATTAACAATTTCTATGTAGTATTTGAGATCAAGTCTTCCAACAATCTGTCGGAATTTACATTGTATTAATTGTGGCCCTTTAATATCAGACCTATTTTAATATTCAAATGAAGCAGAATTTATTCAGAAAATAGAAAAAGAAGTTAATGGTAACCTAACAACATTTCGCAAGTTCTGTGATCAATACAATGACCTTGTAAGCAAATACAAACTGTCATTAAGTCGAATGCTGACTAACGTTTTTTCATACTAATTGTTAAGCCATTATTTACACACTGAATCGTCTACGGATTTTCCCGTTTGCCTGACAAGGAGCATACGGCGGGTGTGAACGGTCGCCAGTGGGTGCTTATTCCTCCATGGCACCTGATCCCACCTCTGATGTTTTCTGAGGTCCGTGTTTGCTCTGATTACTCCATATTTCATTGTCTATAATGTCAAAAAACCTGGACTTAAATTAACTGTGAGTAATGGTTAGGTTTTGATTAGTTATACGTCTTCATGTTATTGATTTAAGAAAAAAAATGATTCTAAATTTTCTAAAAGTTCTTTGGCGTTTTAAAGAATTTACATTTGATTTGAATATGTTGTTGCACAATTTGTCTGAGGTTTTTCCTTCACAGTAGTTAATAATTTGTAAAGTGTAAAGATAAGGGATTGGTAGAACAGTTACTTGAACCTGCAGTGTATATTTGTGAAGATTTTTTAAGTCTTGGAATGCAGTATAGGTACGCTAAAAGAAATTAACTTTTGCTGTCTGTAATGAAAAAAAAGTATTTAAAACATTTGAAAGGGAACAGTGAGATGGATTTCAGATGTGGAGTTAAAGATAATTTCTTCTTTAAGATTTTTAAAGGTGCAATGTATTTTCATTAATGATCAATTTAGGGGGAGGGGGTTGAAGCTATGAATATAACAGTTTTAGAAGAGGGCGAAATGTTTATTATAATCATGGGAAAAGTTTGCCTGCTAAATACTGTGGGTAGAGATTTTCAAAGAGGTAACATATTTTCAAAATATAAGCTCCACCCTAAGGCCTGAACCATGGATCTAGGGGCCATTAACATCATAATTTTAGTAAAACATTGAGTACTCGTTGTAATCAAGAAAACCGATTGTTAGATTCCATGAGTAAAGAAGAAGATTTAATAAGATATAGGCCTAATGCATTTTTAATATATGACCAACATAACCCCACCTATGCTGAATCATAAACCAAGGGCCCATAGATTTAACGATTGTGTTAAAAGGGCTAATGGCTTATCATAATCATGCTAACAATTCATCTGTTCCCCTTAACCCATAGATGCTTTATTCCAAATTTGGTTGAAACTGGTTCAGTCCTTCTTGAGAAGTTCACGTATGACGCCACATCGGACGAAAACACTTCACCTGCATGATTGTCCCAGGTGAACTAAGGAAAATAAAGCTTGAGAAAATAAACATTTTCTGAATTGCTTTGAAACCTGTCTTTCTATTTCTTTATTGTTCAACACTAAAAGACACATACAAATTTTATAAGGTTTTTATTTCTAAATTACTTAGAAAAAGATTCCTTTTCAATATCTTTTTATTGCAACGAAATAAGATTTTTAAATCTCATATGCATAGAGAATAATTAATTCCACTTTAAGACTAGATCAATTCTTATATATGTGATCCATTATACTTAAACACAGCATTGCATAGCAGTTGCAAAAATTGTAAATCTTTAAATGTAAGGAATGAAATGAGCACAAGAAACCAAAGGCCAAAAAAAAAAAAAAAAAAAAAAAAATGGAACGGCGCAAAATAATAAATTTTTGCACCAAATGAATAAACGCAAAAGCACGAGAAGATTGCCAAAAACGCGCGGAAAATTCATAAACATATAGATCATGTGCTTCTTGCTGTTCCTTTTGCGTAAATGAGTCTAATTAATCATTCTTTGTATGGCAATAATATTCTAATTCTACACCGTCGCTTCCGGTTTTGCGGTTCAACAGAGATTGCATTTCCATAGAACGAGGCTAGGTAGTTGTTTACTGCAGAGAACGAGAGGTGAATTTGTATCATATAATTTATTCTACTCAATAAATCCTCTAATTTTCAATGCAATGCAAATGTATAAATTGATAATTCATTCATGTTTTTGTGAATGAGTTATGAGAATGGCAATACGTCATCTTTTCTTTTTAACCTATATTGAGAAATTCTTAAGTCAGGGACTGAGAAGTTTTGAAATTCATATCTTAATTATGTGAGCAGAGGAGTAATTAAAACTGCAGGAATTCGAATTTTTAAGAAAAAAAATCTATATAAAATATATATACAAAAGTTTTAAATGAAAGAAAAAGTGAGCAAGCTCATATACCCCACGCTTCCCCAAAACTTGACAACGCAACACATAATGAATGGCACAGTGCGCTTAAAATACACAGTATAATTCAAAAAGGGGCAATACTAGCAAAAAAAAATCTCATATGAAAACTTCTTGCATATGAGGACATTCAAATCTTATGAAATTATTTAAGGCAAAGCACTAATTTGAGGTGTGTGTGTGTGTGTGCGTTTGTGTGTGTTGGGGGTGTGGTGTTGGGGGGGGGGGTGGGAGGAGGAGGGGAGGGAGAAATTTCTGTGTACTTCTATCCAAGACTTTTTGTAGGTGTGTGTTGAATCATTAATATTATCATCTCAACATCAATAGGGGTCTTTCAAGGTCATAAAATATTTCACAAAATTTCATTGCAAAAGCTGAATCCAGTGTATTTCCTTATTACGTGACTGAAAAGTTTTTTTTTTTTTCAATAACAGCCAGAACTTTAAGGCCAAAAATAATAGAATCGTAATTTCCTAGCAATATACACAACTACACACTGTGTTTTAAATATCTGCAAAGTTTGATAAAATTCTGTACTGCAGTTTAAGAGGAGTTGCGCTGACAAACTGTTCATCTCTATATTCAAGATAAGGCCAAAAATCTAAGATGAAAAGTGCCGAAATTCCCCAAAAATAGAGGAATCGGAATTTCCTGGCAATATATACAACTACACACTGTGTCCTAAATATCTGCAAAGTTTGACGAAATTCTGTGCAGCAGTTTAAGAGGAGTTGCGCTGACAAACTGTTCATCTTTTCAAGATATGGCCAAAAATCTAAGATGAAAAGTATCGAAATTCCCAGAAAAATAACGGAATCGGAATTTCCTGACAATATGCACAACTACACTGTGTCCTAAATATCTGCAAAGTTTGACGAAATTATGTGCAACAGTTTAAGAGGAGTTGCGCTGACAAACTGTTCACGCCGAAACAAAAACAAAACAAAACATATTTACATATTACTATCTTGTTGTAAATTTTGAATTTACTAGGGGGAGGTAAATATCATGTTGTAAATTTTGCATTTACCTCCCCCTAGTAAATTCAAAATTTACAACATGATATTACAAACAAAAAACAAATAAATGAAAATGAAAAACGGAAAATTATACCAAGAATGAACTAAAAAAAATTATGTTTGTATAGTTACATAGTTAATGACCTATGTAGCTGTGTACTTTTATTCTAACATTTATTCGTTCTGAGGGTAGCCTATATATTATCTATAAAACTAGTTCTGCTGGCTATATAGCTTATCTACCGACGCTGTATTTCTGCACATTTTTGATAACAGAGGACGTGGCTGAATATCTTTTGAAACAGTAGATGTATATACTGTAGTTTTTCTGTGAGAGGACCACGAATCTTATACTATCGTAGTGTGATAGACCTCATAACATTTTATAATAGTTTTCTTATGAGAGGACGCAAATATCGTGCTATTTTTTTAATGGTTTCTTGTGAGAGAATGGTGGACCCAATTCTTTTTTAATAGTTTATGTCCGAGTGCAAGCCTAGGGATTCATACCGAAAATTATGGCTTTTTTTTTTGTTTTTGTTTTTGTTTTGTTTTTTGCTTTCTCTTTGGAATAACGTTCCAGTGCTGTTTTCCTCTTACGCGCTATATTTCATTTCCAAGTTGTTTTATTTATTTATTTATTTATTTATTTTTTGCAGGTATATAAAATTATGCCAAATCAGTAACATTGATTTTTGGGTATCATATCCTTTGATGGTGTTATCTATGTAACTTTAAGTCATGCAGTTTGGTTACAACCTTTAGGTAGCTGTCGTTCATCTCTTACTTTGACACAAATCAGATGACATACGTTCAATTTCATTAAACTACAGAGCAGCTTTTTAACAAAGGCAATTAAGCTAATTAATTAAGCTAAACTAATTAGAGGTTATCTTAATGTTGATATTTGGATGCCTTTCTTGGTAACTTTTTTTCTTATTTACCGTGGAATCCTTCTGCATGTCTGTGTAGAGAGTTTACAGGTAATTAAGGATCAAGTCCTGTCTGATCACTTCAATATTTTTACCTTTTAAAAACAGTTCTGCATCTGCTTGTCTGTCGTGATGAGCTAGGACATTTGTGAACATTCCACACTGTGGGGTGGGCATTTTGTAGATCACTTGCTGAGGAAAATCGTATTTGTATTCAAAAGTACTGTATTTAACCTAGAAAAAAAGAAAAAAAAAACAAAGGCTAAATTATAATTTGTCCAGGTAATTTTAAACATATCTGATAATATTTGTGGTCAAGAATAACTGTGCTAATGAAACACCTACATCTTATGTAAATGAATTACATTACTTGATGCAGTCAGATTCTAAGTTATAATTTTTGCATTCAAAAAAGAAAAATCAACCTTTCTCAAACTTCTTTCCTTTCTCGTAAATTATATTTTATCAATTGACAACTTAAAGAAATAATATTGCGGAATTTATATCTGTCAGAAGGACACTACCAAGAATAGAAAATGGACCTTTTTCCAGTTCTGATAGAATAAATACAGTTGTAGATTTATATTCAGATATCGACTTAGAAGATTTTAAGTAAATTTATATGTCATTATATGCCTGTACAAATAATTGCACACTATATCTCAGTGTAGCCCCGACCTATAATAAGAATTGGCGGTTTTGTTTGTTTGTTTGTTTGGTTTTTTTTTTACTTTATAGGTGAGCAAGTCTAATTTGTCGGTCTGAGATTCCTTTGACAACCTGTATAGTTCTCTTTAATACTTAAATAATTTAAATGATCTCTTTATTATTTTTGTTTATTAAATATCATTTTATAGCCCAGAAATACATTTATATTTTAAAACATTTGAATAGATATATCGGTACCTTGCGTTGATTGAAATCAGATATTACACTATCTTTATATGCTGTGTGCTTCTACATTCTTATTTAAAAAAATGTATATCTTTACAAAACTTGACTGAGCAAAGAAATTCTCGAGAATCGAGTTATTAGGGGGAGGGGTTTCATTCAGAAAATTTTAAAAATTTACATTGCTCTAGGAATAAAGGTATCGAGAGAAAAAAACAATAAGAAAGACCTAAACATTTTCCCCGTTGATATGAAGCCTCGTAGCGTGATCATCTTTGTCAGTGGGTGGCATTTATTGATGCTTTAACCTTCAGCTACTTGGAATTTCCCAAAGAAATAATTTTTTGATTAAAATATCATTCTCCCAGACATGTATTATAAATGTATCCCTGATTGTAAAATAAAATTTCATACAAAATCATAACTAGCTGGATTTATTATTATAAAATTTAAAAGTCATTTTACCAATAGATTAACTTTGAAATAAGTTGATGACAAGCACCTTTTCCTTCGTGGGGGTAAATTTACAACATCAACAATATATTAAGATATGCAATAAAGATGAAAAAATAAAAAAAAAATAGGAAAGGCGTAAACAAACATCCTATCAGCCTGGAGGGAACACAAGCATTAATGAATACATGAACATCGGAATGTGTTAATATATAGTTTATTAATTTGAGAATATTTTTTACGAAATGAAACAATTTACATGACTTAACGTGCAATTCGTCAGTAAAAAGGCAAAAATAGTTTATTGTCCAAAAAAGGATATTATATCATTAGAAGAAAAGCAACTCTAATTTGGTATGGTGGTTAATTCCAGATAAATGCACGTTTTCCCTAGTTATGAAACGCTTAATTCATGCCTTGCTTTTCTCACGCATCCCCATGCCAGACCTAGGGTTCTATTTCAGTCGAGGCAGGGAGTCTGACGGTTTAGGTCAAGAGCGAAGCCCTGATAGGGGCCGGGGGTGGGGGGGGGGTGGGGGGCGGGCGGGCGAAGCCCCGCAATCTCTTGGTTTAAAGTTATACATGACGTATCTAAGCTGGGAAAAAAAAATACGAAATTGCGATATATGTACGTTATGATTAAAATTTTCACTGATTTTTAACTCGGACTATAGTTAAGTTGACTTTAAATTTTAAACTTTGCTGCAATCGTGTTGAATACGAGTATTGATATGATCCGCCAAGCGCATGACTGCGGGAAAAGCATTAAAACCATGATGGAAGAAGAGATATAAATGTACATGATATTGTTGGCATATCATAATTTTTTCTTTACTTCTTTCTATTGCCCATCTCTTCCTCTCTGTATTTGTTGAACCGCTTGTATTCGCTGGCGGAGTTATTCAAATATCTATTTTTTTATGGAGTCGGTAAATGAATCGGTTATTGTTTTAAATTTTTGATATCTTTGAAACACGATTTATTTAAATTGTCCTTTATCTGTATCTTTATATATTTATGAGGCAACTTAAAAGATCTTTTTAAATTTGGTGATACGAATTTATCAAAAATACGCCATATACAGCTTTAAGATGTAGGAAGTGCTTTGCCTATATCCCCTATCCCCCCTCCAATAAAAAAAACTCTCTTTGATTGTTTGGAAGAATTAATTCAGCTATCATAATACTGTTCACTTATCAAGAGCCTACATAGCAAGCTCCATTTGTTTGTACAACCAGAAGTAATGCACTGTGCCTAATAAGTAGTTATGAAAAATTTGATTGTGTCGTGATTTTTCTTGTGAATAGATCCAAAATTTTCACATATGCTCCGCTCCCAAGAGCATTGAGTTCTTTATCGTGCTACGTTTATCGTGAACGTTTGCTGCAACATGGGAATATGGGTTTAAGGTGGCAATCGAAAAAAAAAATGTTTTTCACTTCAAATACCGAGCGCAACGGAACGATGGGACTGTTCTGTCGCTCAGTAGGCGTCCGCTTAACGGCACCTACTGAGCCACAGCACCCCTATAGTATTTTTGATTTATGTATATTTATATGCACGTTTTTATGAAGAATTAGACTCATCAAGTAATGTAATCCATGACAGTGTGACCGATCTTTCTTAATGAAAAGGGTGTTTAAATAATTATTCCAAGTTAAATGTGATGCTTACTGGTCAGATATATTGACTTTGAAGTTTAGAGTCTATACTAACAAAATAATCCCAGATTATAAAAGCTTGATTTCTTATACGGAGATTGCCTAGGCCACAGGCACTTGGGGTCTGGACCCCCCCCCCTTTCCATTTTTTTCTTTTTAAATATGAGGTCGAGACACCTTTTTCCTATTTTTGTATTCTAATATGCACTATATATTATCAATAATGTAACTCTTTTGTCTCTATATGCTGTTTTTAAATATACCGTTTTCGACTGATACATAAAAAGAGAGAAGGCTTGCAACTCTTTTCTCGTCGTCTGCCTCACCTCGCTCAAACTTCGCCTGATTATTTATCTAAAACATAAGAAAACATGGGATATGCATACATCAATAAATTTGTTATACATTCTTCTTCCTTTTCATATTTCCATTTAATTTTTATGTGCCCCCGATTTGTATATATTTCGATTAAATCAACCGCATCTAGGGTAAATTTTGTTGATGTGCACTAGCTGGGACGGAAGTGTCCGGTATTTTCGGGCGTCATCATTAAGTGTAATGTCATTCGGAACATTAAATGAAAGAGGGAAAAAATCCCGAATTTTCTCTTCATAATATATGTAACGGTAAGTTACGTGTATAACAAGATAACTCTAACTAGCAGATTCTAATGGATGAAGATTAACATTTAACATACGACTTAGACGACCAAATTTCTTAATATTTTTATTACAAAGCTTGGAATTTTTATTTAATACAGAACATTTGTAAAGTTAGAGTTACCGTTATTGCACTTCCGTCCCAGCTAGTGCACATCAACAAAATTTACCCTAGATGCGGTTGATTTAATCGAAATATTTCCAAATCAGGGGCACATAAAAATTAAATGGAAATATGAAAAGGAAGAAGAATGTGTAACAAATTTATTAATGTATGCATATTCCATGTGTTCTTATGCTTTAGATAAATAATCAGGCGAAGTTTAAGCGAGGTGAGGCAGACGACGAGAAAAGAGTTGCAAGCCTTCTCTCTTTTTATGTATCAGTCGAAAACGGTATATTTAAAAACAGTATATAGAGACAAAAGAGTTACATTATTGATAACATATAGTGCATATTAGAATACAAAAATAGGAAAAAGGTGTGTCGACCTCATATTTAAAAAGAAAAAAAATGGAAAGGGGGGGGGGGTCCAGACCCCAAGTGATTGTGGCCTAGGCTGCCTCATTGAAAACAACGACCAAGGTCCTACCAGGATGGCTACCTCACTGATGTATACGGTTATTTCTTGTTTGAGACCAAAGTCTATGTCTATTTTTTATCTTTACATGTATCTATTTGTACAAGATTTGAGCAGTCCATTTGTATTTTTAACCTACCCAACAGTTGTATTCCTCTGCTTCATCTTTTGATTTTGTTATAAGATACTTTTCAAACAACGAACTTGTGTTGTAAATGTATTGCAAACACTGGTATTCTGCAGAGAAAGAGAGAAAAAAAGAACATAATGCAAAGGATAATACAGAGCCATTCTTTTAACAGAAAATTACGTTTTACTTAGTAGTTTTCCAATGGGATATTGTTGGTTAGTTCTATCAATCCCCCACCTTTATTCCCCATTAAAATTAACCGGTGAGATAAATCTTCAGACGTTTTGTGTTACAGCGGATTCAAAAAATGTAGTAAATAAAATGTGGATTTTCCAAAACTCCTCAGAACTTTGAAAAAAATGAAAATATTTTTTCCCAAAGTCACTAACATCAAAACTTGTCAATACTTTACACAACCATTCCTACATAGCAGAGTAGACGCACTAAGTTTGTCACCAAGTACTTGAGTACTCGTCTATCGTTCGGTCATACGATAATTCACTTAATATCTTTTACTCGTTAAAAATCTTAAATTTAAGCAAGAAAAGTGATAGAATTTTAAATTTCAGCAGCTGGTCATTTGTTGCCAAAGCTTAAATTCTTCTCGATAATGTGGATCAAATTATGTTTTTGAAAAAGAATTATTTCGTACTGTATATACATGTAATTAGGGAAAGAGATCTGTACATTCTTTCATGTTTCAGAAAGATAAACTACTCCCTTACGTTTGGCTTCATTGATTCCCTGACAATCTTTGCCGTGGACTGTTAGAGTGGTCACTGTGTTACATGTTTTGGGATCTACATCTGAGATCATTCCTAAACACTGCCGTCCACCATAGGTACCATTAAACATAAACCGTCCTTCAAACCCACAGTATGATCCAAACAGTAAACCATCATCATCTACAAATACAAAATTTAAGAACACTCAGGCAGTGAAATCAACCAGTAATTACACATTAACACATGTGTCTAGTGGAGGATCTAGGATTTATCAGGTGGCACAAATCAATTGAGTACACGTATGTATCAATATCTTACAGAGACGTGACGTTTTGGGAGCACTCTCTCACTGAAGCCTATACAATATTTCTGTATAAAATTTAAATTAATTCTAAATATTGTACGCATGTGAGTCGCTGCATACATGGTAGATGCATATATCCCCCTTCTCGACTCTACAAATTTGCTCTGTTTTTTGCGTTTCATGTTAGCTTACACGCCTAAAAATCGGATAAATATAAGAAAATGTTTTGTGCTTTGAAATCAACTTGTATCTTAATCACGATGAAATCAGAGATGTGTTGTTTATTACTAGCTATTCTTAAAAAAGTTTGTTTGATTGACTGCTTCTGAATACAGTTAGTTCCATCCGAGGCATGCGACAAATGTAACCATTTGTGCACACAGACAAATGTAACCATTTGCGCGCACATGGCGCGACAAACTTTTTTGTTTGTTATACAGTCTCCTGGATTCTTGTCACTTGTATAAATCCGGACCGTAGCAACGGTTTCAAAATTGAGGGGGGACCTCCCAAAAAATATCTAAATACGTATTTACTATAGCAAAATACTATGCTCAGAAAAAAGGGGGCAGCACTTGACTATTAAAAATATTAAAAAATGTAATAAAACTTTGTTGAACTATTGGATTACTGGAATTAAAGTAGTGTAAATTCACATTGAAGTGTTTTCTATTATGTGCTGTTATTTCGTTTCGTAATATAGACAATCGTAATCTAGATATATTTATTATGCTTCCTGTCAGTTTGTCTCTATATAATCAATACCCAACTATTTTCGCATAGTGTTCTAAGGATTTATATAGCGTAAGCATACTATGCCGAAATAGTGCACGGCTGTCTTTTCTAGAGAAAATGTAATTAGCACCCACGCTGGGGATCGAACTCACGATCTGGAGAACGTCAGTCCAACGCGTTACCGATTACGCCACAAACACCGCTACTTTACGGAATGTATTTTCAAGTATAAAAACGTAGTTTTTATACATTTGTCACAAAACAAGAAATAAATGAATATAATTTCTAAAAGACTGATATTATTGATAAGGATCTTAAAGAAAAATTCTCTAACAAATAATCGAATTTATCAGTAACCAAAATTGCAACGTAACATGAACTGGTTCTTCGGAGTCAATAAAACGCTTTTTGATATAACGCTTGATTAAAGAATGTTCAAGAAAATTTTCATTTAGATTTAACGTCTGCAAACAGGTTTGGGATTGAGAATTTAATTAAATTGTCGTATACAAACAACAGTCAGCATAATAATTATAATAGTGTTATTATTTGGATGTACTATGCCGAAATAGTAGTCAGGGTTTGACACATAGTGCACTCGCCTCCGGCTCGTGCACCATGTGTCAAACCCTGACTACTATTTCGGCATAGTACATCCAAATAATAACACTATTATATTCGTTATATTGTTGACCTGCAGACCTACATATAAGTGTTTTCCTAGCACTACTGCGGTAAGTATCCAGTAGGGGGTATTCGTCGTCCCTAAACTGACACAGAGACTCGTATGGTTGGTTCTCTCGAACACTAGGACCTAAAAAAAATACCAAATGTAATTATTTATCAATTATATGATAGTTTTAGAGATATTATTACTGTAAACTAATTTCCTTTGCGTGAAACGTATCGAATTTCAGAAGGAAGAGAGACTTTGAGAGTTTTAAACACTTTTTTGTTAGAAAGATAACCTGAAAATGAAAAAAGCGCGAAAGAAAATCTTTGCATATTTTCTCGTAAGATAAAATCGCGAAACAGAGTAGCCGTGAAGTAAAATTGGTTTACGGTATAAAGCTTAAATAATCGTCCTTCAGCCTAGGCACATTTTCTTTGACACATTTTGTTAACATAACTGACTTACCAATTCTGTATCGAAGAATATTGTTGCCAAGTCTTTCTAATTCGATGCATGAGTACCTATTGGAGCTGTAAGCAGAACAATGTAATGTTATATTTGTCTTAAAATTTGTGATTTTTTCATGTCATGTATGTCATGGAAGTATGAAAAAGAAAATATTCAGCAAAATTTAAACAAGAGGCCCATGGGTCACATCGCTCACCTGAGCACATTGGTTAGGAAAAAAGCAGAAAATTGAAAAGTTTACGGGAAAACGAAGGGGGGGGGGTTAAACTTACCCTACCTCAAGATGCTTCCTTATCAATATTACTAATCATGGCTGTGCTGTTCTTGAGCAAAACAATTTTAAAGAGTTTCCCCTTATGTATTCCTATGTTAAACTCTGATCGCTCATTGTGGCCCCACCCTACGCACCCTAAATTTGAACAAATTTGAATCTACACTAGCTCAGAATGCTTCTATAATATGGCTTTGCTGTTCTTGAGCAGAAGATTTCTTTCAAGATGATTCCTTTACTAAAACTTTGACCCCCTGTTGTGCCCCAACTCCTGGGGGTCATAATTTGAACAAACTTATTCTACAATACCTAAGGTTGGTTGCTTCTGTAAAAATGTGACTATTAATGGCTTAGTTGCTCTAGAGAAGAAGATTATTTACTAAAGGATATTTCCTATGTATGATCAGGTTCTTACAAAGGATATATAGGTTTTCCTTTCACTCTGTCTGAGTTAATGATTGGAATGTTTAATAAGACTGCTCTGCCTGAGGGTAAATCACACAGTATTAAAATTTTTCTCTTAACTAGAGACATAGTCTGTGTAATGTACTACTTGCACCGTGTTTCTCCCTAGGTCCCTATTGATAGATAAGAACCGGAAGACTCAATCTTCTTCAGATTTACAACACCCAGAACTTAACATCAATTCCCTAGGATACTTGCCACTTGTGCTTATAACTTTTATACTTTCATTCTGCTCTTACCCTTAACTTTATTGCTGATTTAACAGCTAACGTCTTCTCCGAGCTTTTGAATACCATGTCTTCAATACGTTTTACACAAATGCACCTTGTCCATTACACTTATATATCTATACTTATAAATTAATAAATTTTGCAAATAAACTCCGAAACGGGTGCACCAGAATTCTTACTAACTCCTCTAAGTATACAATAGATACAAGATGATGTCCGTAAACTATATTTAGATTTCACTCGCATAGTTAGTATCGTACATTAAATTAAAAGTCTACCCTCATTTTCTATAAAAAGCCATGAAATAGCAAAAACATGAGTACGGTGGCGTTTCCGGTTGGCGGATCTAAGTTACTGGCAATTTTTAATGACACTGACAACAAGCAATCTTTTATTTATTTCATAAAACGTCACCACTGAATTATTCAATCAAAATTTGATTTAAATGATATGAAAGAAATAAGTCGTGATACCCGATTAAAAAGGGAAATGTGCAAATTATTTTCGTCATTCACCGATCTTAATATTGAAGGAAGCTTCTAGAAGATCATATAGCATCGAGCCCGTTGTTAAAAAAAAACCCAGGCGATTATACTGCATGAACATAAAAAAAGCTTTTGTGTGAATGGTCATTGAAATAATGGTAAATCATTGATAACACTATAAGTTTTGAATATATTTATAATAATAGTTTTAACGTTCTCTGTGTAATAGATATAGTCCTTAAGCATTTTAATTAGATTATTTGCAAAGAAATGCCTATACCGGGCCTTAACTCACCTGCGTGTTTTTAATTAAGGACATTCTGATAGCCAGAGCAATCAATTAATGAATAAGCAGTTACTTACTGTTAAACAATTTAACAACCACCTAGCGTTTGGATAGTGTGAAATTACCTCACCCCCCCCCCCCCCAATTTATTTCATAATAATCTTTAAAAAAAAATATCGGCTAGCAATTTTCGCATGCTCACTCTGCATGTACAGACCAATTTATGAATTCGATTGATGGGGAAATCATAAATTTTGGAGAATTAGATTTAATTTACTTCATATAACCATGCTATCAAACGTTACGTTGCATTAATTCTTATGTTACTTTTTGAGCCTATTTAAGTAAAAGGGTTTTTGAGTTATAAATATGTCATGTACCAGTGAAGTTTGAAATAATATTTTATTTTCAGAAAATGTTCCGAATAATCGACTATCGTTCGAATAATGGAATCGAATAATCGACTAAGGAAAATAAATATTTTGACATCCCTAATTTATATATCGAAAGACTATTACATATGTGTAGTAGGTTTTCCTAATAAATTTATCGGTAAAATCATCACCGAGAGCATAGTGGCAACGAACCCGAAGTACAAGTTTACTTCGTAATAAACTTGCTTACATGAAAAGAGAAAATTAATGAATAAGGTATTGTTCAAATACAATTAAAGCTGTAAATTTTTGTGCTTTAGTCAATACATTTCAGTTCTTTTTTTCTGAATACAGTCTTTTGTATCAAATACTCGGCCTATTCATAGGACATTAAAAGCTAACCCAACCCAACCCCCCAACCCCCGAAAAAAAAATCAATTTATTAATAAAATGTGCATATTCACTGCTTTTTTCCTTGACGGAAATGAAATAAAAGCACCTGAAGTGCAATATCCATAACTATAACATAGTATAACAGGTTTCACAATAAACGTCAATTAATGAAATAGTTATTTTTCAAGTTTTTTTTTACAAAAAGGGGGGCGTACATCTACTTCATCCGGGATTTTGAACAAGGTACTTCTTCCTGCTATAAACCTGTAGGTTGTCAGTAGAAACTACAATATATATCATTGGAACTTTTCTTTCGGTAGTGGTATAAATTTAATTCCCCGCGCTTGCGCGGGATTTCATCTAGTTCCTAAGTAAAACTTTGACCCCCTGTTGTGTCTGCGCCCAACCCTTAGGGTCACGATTTTAACAAACTTGAATCTACACCACCTGAGGATTCTTCTATATTAATATGACTAACAATGGCCTAGCTATTCTTGAGAAGATATTTCCTCTATGTTCCTACGGTAAACTTTGACCCCCCCTGCTGTGGCCCTGCCCTACCCCCAGGGGTCATGATTGGAATAAACTTGAATCAATACTACATAAGAATGCTTGCATATAAATATGACTAATCATGGCTTTGCTGTTCTCAAGAAGAAGATTTTTAAAGACATTTCCAATACATGTGTATTCCTATGCAAAACTTCGACCCCCTCTTGTGGCCTGCAATACCTCCCAGGGTTATGATATGAACAAACTTGAATCTAGAGTATGTAATTAAGCTTAAGTTTCATCTTTTTCTTGCGCAGTGGTTCTTGAGAAGAAGATTTTTAAAAGAGCTACCAAATTTTCACGAATTCTTAATTATCTCCCCTTGAAAGAAGGCGTGGTACTTCCTGTGACCAAACTTAAATCCCCTTCACCCAAGATTGCTTTGTGGCAAGTTTGGTTGAAATTGGGCCAGTGGTTCTTGGGAAGAAGTCGAAAACGTGAAAAGTTTACAGACTTCGGCTCAGGAGAGCTATTAATGAGTTTAAAAAAAAAAAAAAAAAAAATAGATATTTCTCCTTCGCCAATCATACCTTTGGTCATCCTTCCTTGACCCTGAATAGATGACATTGATTATATATATATATATATATATATATATATATATATATATATATATATATATATATATATATATATTAAAAAAACAACCAATGTCTCCTCTTGGTCATGTAACCAGACAATTAGATGTTCATTAGATGTTCTTTTAGGAGAACAGAATAACATACTGCTAATTTGATCAGAACCATGTCATAAATCTGAATTAAAGTTCAGAGTTTTCTTTGCACCTTTAAGTCGGTATTTTAATAAAAATAGTTACAGACATGATATTCAATAAGTTGAAGTAGGTTACAGCAGCATAAAATATACAAAAGTACTTAGAATTTACTGATGGACATAATATACATTAGATAAATTAATAAACAATGATGTAAAATTTAAATTATTCAGTAATGATTTTTAAAGAACCAAGAACCATATAGAATATGAACAAAAACTTATTTCCCCATTTCATGAATGTGGCATTTGCTTTCAATATATGCTACATTATTCACTGTATTTCTTTTTATTAAAATGTGATTACTTAGTCAAGTTTTTCAGACTTGCTATGATAAAAATAGTTGATACCATATGCTCATATTAGACAAAATTTGGTTGCTTTAAATTATGTCTTGGAAGTCATTTTTGAACATTTTCAGAGTCCCATTATACAAACGCTTTTAGCAATGTTTTCCATATTTTAAGAATATGACATGACCGTGTGAAGAGTGATTCCGAACTGATAAGCTCTGCTGCTCTTCTGTCTGTCAGTTCTTATGAATTGTTTTCAAATAACATTTATTGCATATCCAGGTACATGTCAGCATAAAATATTATTCTGCAGTTATCAGTTATAAATATACAGGTTCAAGCGAAAGACTACCTTGACGTACGAACCAATTACAGCGATGTGAATAAAAACTGATGCGTTTACAGAATATCTTCATTATTTCAAGAATATTTCTGCAACTGTAATTTTTGCGGATTTGTCCTATCCGCAAAAAATTAGCAACAGCAGAAAATACTATTAAAGGTATTACCAACTACACGGATATTCATTTCATTTCTGAAGCTTCTTGTATCTCTTTCTCGGTGCAAGAAGCTTCACATAACGTTGAATATTGCTATGAAATTAGGAAACTTGAACATTTTTCCTTCTTGGCAATCATTAAAACAGTTTTTTTTTTCATAAACATAAAATATATCGTATTCAACTTAAACTCTGTTAGATTAATACACTTTGAATGACTAAAATGATATTTCTTTATTGATGAAAAGGTAACTAAATCAAACAAATGGTCCATGGGCCACAACGCTTACCTGTGGAAAATAGATCTCTCATGTTCTTCATCAGCAGCTTTTTTTTCTATTATATATTCCTATGTAAAACTTTGATTCCCTGTGGTGACCCCACCCTACCCCCAGGTGTTTGAACAAACTTGAATATACACTACTTGAAAATACTTCCCTATCAGTATGACAAATCATTGCTGTTCTTGAATAGATTTTTAAAGATTTTTTCTCTACATATTCCTATGTAAAACTTTGATCCCCCGTTGTGGCCCTACCCTATCTTCTATTCTCTCTTTATGGCCACATCTGGCTAACTATTCACCTTAAGATGCCACTGGGTAAAAAATGTGCGGTAACTTTAAACTTTCAACCTAGGTTTAAGCAGGCCTTCGTTCAAAAATATTGTTTAAAAGTTTTCTGTTCTTTCCTAACAAAAATATACTTTAGTTAACTATAATTTACTATAGTTAACTATAGTTTCAAAGTTTGAACTATAGTAAATTAAAGTATATTTACTATCTACTTGAGAATGTTATATTTAAAGTCATGCACATTGACTTTAATTTTTTTAAATGGAAATATTACTTGTATATTCACATTTTATTTCTAAATTTTACATTATTGGTATTGAATTTAAGATATTTTCAGCTTCAAAATCTCAAAAAATGTTCTAGAGTAAAAGTTGATAGTAAATCAAAGTATTTACTATAGCTTACTATAGTAAACTATAGTATAGTTAACTATAGCAAAGAACTATGCACCCTACCTTTCAATTCCGGAATAAATTTAAGACCCATTTAATTCAATATTAACGAAAATATGGCCATTCAAACGTTTTGAATGCAAAGAAGAATTTGATTAATTAAGTAATTGATTAATAGTATCAATACCAGTGTCATATAGTGAATTGCTCTAAATTACTAATTAATCTTTTTATAACAGGCAATGTTATCCTTTCAAATCAGGTTTTAAAACATCAACAGATTTTAAAAATATTCACGGGCGTGGATAAATAACCCTAATTGTTTCCGTATGATTAAGTCCTGTAAATTGAATATATAAGACTGATAAAGTACAGTTTTTTTAAAGTTGTAATATTTTTTAAATTTGTAAGAAAATGGACATTTTCGCTGTTTTTGTCTGTAAACAAATCCCAGTGAAAGAAAAAAAAACTTATGAATTTGTTAACTAACAATACATAATACCAGTAAAAAGGAATATTTGTTTCAATTTTTTTTTTGTTTTCCGTTGATAAACACAAATTTTACAAAAATTTAGAGTTATCGCGCTTTGTTTTCCCAAATAAATTATGTTTTGTGAAAATTCATATAAATATCTATACAAATATGAAAATTCATTTAAATGTGTTTACTTGGGGGTAGGTTGCAGAACAATGCTATCGTTCGCAGTTCTTTCTGTTAGGGTTGAACCAGTTTGATTTTTTTTACTTCACAGTAACCTAGATTCATTCAAATTTCATTAGTTTTATATTTTTGAATTTGATTGTTCACTTTAAAAGTTTTCTATTTAACATTATTTCATATTTACATGATGTATCTGTATTTGTTCTCTCTGTTGTGTTTCATTTCTGATCGTTAAAATAGGCAATAAATACCTACTTGTTTTCTTTTTACTTAAATAATTTATGAAATGAGCTGTCATTCCTTCTTATTTTCATGTATGTTTAAGTAGAATATCTGTGGTATGCACAACAGCAACCCCCCCCTCTCTCTCTCTCTGGTACCATCCGTTATTATAAGCTGTGGTGACCGTATACTGGTGCTCGTCTGGGGTCCTTTGATAACACTGGAACGCCCCCATCTCAGAAAAATCGACATGAGAGGAGTTTATGACAACTTTCTCAAATCGGTTTCGCTCAATTAGCCTCCATTTTCCATACAATTTTGAACTGAATGAACACGTCTTCCGTGAAGCTGAATTTTCATCTAAAAATAAAAAAGAGTGTTCTTACATTTTGTAACTGTCGAATGGTTGTCAGATTGAAATAGTGCACGGTTTATAAATTTACCGAACAAATAAATCTTACTGTAGGACTTTTTTAATTAGGTTCTTAGTAAATATTCTGTAATAGTTTCAACAGAGAAGTAAACAAAAATATCAAGGATCATGTTATTTAACCTTTTAAATTAAACCTAATGAAGTAACCTAAAAGAATTTTCAAGTTCAAATAGTTCGAAAGATTTACTCAGGTTACCAAATGCTATCAATTTCTGTCTGTTATAGTGTAGAACGAAGGTCATTAATATTTAGCTTAATTCTTTCCTGAAATGGCTAATTTCAACCAGTATAAATACATAACATCTATGGGTGAAAATGGAACAGAAATTGAAAATTTAGCCCCCCCCCCCCTCTCTCCTTCTTTATGGGCTGAAGAGGAAACTAAAAATCCTCAAAAAGGCAATTTTCAAAAATCTTTATATAAAATCATACATATCTTTCAAGTGAACGGTTTTCATAATTATAATAACCTCTTAAAACAATAAGATATTGACTCCAATTGGTCATTCTTTATTTGTTTGACAATGTTTTATCTCTAGGACATGTTCGGCAGGTAAACAGTTTCCATGGTGAAAACGAGCAGATAGTATCTGGAGAAAGATTCATGATTTCTGGGTTCAAGGTTAAGTTAGGCTTAGTTGGTCACATGCTAAAAATTCACTAAATTTTTGAAATATCAATTTGCTCCTGGGCAGTATCAAACAAAGCAAAACAAAGAAAAAAACTAAGAATACAAAACAAGAGGCCCATGGGCCACAACGCTGACCTGAGTATCTATGGCCCTTTTGTTCTTCATCAGCAGATTCTTTTTCCAACATATTCTTATGCAAAACTTTGATCAAATATTATGGCCCCACCCTATCCCAGGGGTAATTATTTGAACAAACTTCAATCTAAGCTACATGAGGATGCAGCTGTATAAATATGACTAATCATGGATTTGCTGTTCTTGAGAAGAATACTTTTAATGATTTTTTCCTATGTATTCCTACGAAAAACTTTGATTGCCCATTGCGCATTGTGGCCCCGCGCTGCTTCCGGGGGTCATGTTTGAACAAATTTCAATCTACACTATAGATCTGCAGATGCTTCATATAAATATTACTAATCATTGCTTTTGCTGTTCCTGAGAAAAAGATTTTAAAAGACGTTCACAGAATCTTTATTACACGCATGGGTCATTGTATACTTCCCATTTTTCGATCGGATACATATTTGTGGTTTCCCATGGTAAAACCTACAACATTGGGGGGGGGGGGGGGGTTGTATCACCCATCTTTTATCCGCTTTTCTATTTAGCGTCTTTGTTGGAATGCGGATTCCGCTAAATCAAATACATCACGAAATGTCTTGTTGATATCGAGTTAAATTTAGCACACAGGCCTTTGGATCGCTTAAATCCGACTTTAAAAAATCGGGGTGTATAAAAAAGATAAAGGTATGGAACTCCTTTCATAGGGTACCCACTTTCGCTAATAAAATACTTTTAAATCGAATGCTCCAGAATTTTACTTTCTATTCATATCTATTCATATATAATCACTCTACATTACTACCAAAGTTCACTCCGAAATTCCATGTACTTCCCGAGATATGGTGAAATCAATTCCAAAATTGACCTACTTTTTTTTACTCGACATTAGCTTGGGCCCTGGTTATCCACATGTATACAGACGGTGTTTGAACTGCAGCGAACAGCTGCATAGTACTTGCACAATCTTTCAACATTTTAAAGTTGATTTTTTACTCCAGATCGTAAGGTTAAGTCAGTAATAATTCCTTACGCGAAAAAAAAATTAGAAAACGTTTGCTTCCAACAACTTCACGGCCATGTTGTTTATAAATGTAAAAAGAACTATGATTGAACGAAAATTTCCCGGAATGCATAATATACCTTTTGATTTTTTAAAAATTATACCGCTGAAATGTTGTTGGTAACTTAATAAGACCATATGATCAAATCAGATAAAATTTTGTAGAAACTGAGTGCTAAAAAACAAATATTCAGAGAGTATAGAATAAATTCCGGGAAGAATTCGTCCCGTCGTTCCCGCTTTACAATTAGTGTAACTATTCAGAGGCCCAAGCTAATGTCGAGTAAAAAAATAAGGCCAATTTTGGAATATGATTTCAGCATATCTCGGGAAGTATACGGAATTTCGGAAAGGACTTTTGTAGTAACGTAGATTGTTTATATGTGAATAGTTATGAATAGAAAGTAGAGTTCTAGATCATTTGATTTAAAAGTATTTTATTGGCGAATGTGGGTACCCTATGAAAGGAGTTCCATACCTTTACTTTTTATAACACCTTAATTTTTTTAAAGCGATCTAAGGGCCTGTGATTTAGCACATTCAGAAATGCCCTGAATCAAATCTATGCTGACTTGCAGAAAAATCAATTTCCGTCAAAGATCATATACGCTTAGCGTAATTACAATTACCATACCCCCCCCCCCCCCATTATACAACTGCTTGTATTAAATAGTAATCATCGTACGAAATTAGTCCATCTCTACTACTTATTTGCTTCCGATGTAGACAAAATCATGCATGCATTTTAACTAGTTTAAAATGGCATATAAAAATCGATATTATATTATGTTCCACCTTAAATTAGGTACTTAAGTATATATCTTTTGTTCTTTCGTTTTTATTTTCTTTTCGTTTCTTTTCAGTTCTTTCTGTATTCTTGTATTTTCTTTCCGTCTCTTCTTTTCTTTCTGTTTCTTTTCTTTCCGTTTTATTCTTTTTGTTTCTATTCTTTCCGGGTTTTTTTCTTTTGTTTCTTTTCTTTCCGTTTTTTCTTTTTGTTTCTTTTCTTTCCGTTTGTTTTCTTTCTTTTCTTTTTGAAGTTTAAAGGTACCCCGGTAAAACACGTGCACAGTTGGAAAGACAGTTTTTAATCCGTTCAATATTTACTTTACATACAAAATATATACTTATATACCTTGGTAATTCGTTGCCACTATCTATTCTGTGACAATGAATTTTATTTCGTGATCACAAATTTTAATTTGTGGGCGCGATTTCTTTATCGTGGCCACTTATTTATAATATAACAAGAGGCCCATCAGCCACATCACTCACCTGCGCACATTGGCTAGGAAAAAGCAGAAGTTGGTTCAGTATTGAAAATTTTTCGGGTGGGGACAAACTTAAATTTACAATACCTCAGGATGCTTCCATATCAATATTACTACTCATGGGTTTAATATTCTTGAGCACAAGAATTTTAGAGATCCCCCCCTTATGTATTCCTATTTAAAAACTCTGCTCGCTCATTATGGCCCCACCCTACCCACCCTAAATTTGAACAATTTTGAATCTACACTACCTGAGGATGTTCTTTAATAATATGACTAATCATCGCTTTGCTATTCTTGCGCAGAAGATTTTTAAAGATACTTCTGATATTATATATATGATCAGGTTCTTACATGGGATATAAGGCTAGGTTTTCCTTTTACTCCGAGTTAATAATTGAAATGATTATTTAGACTGCTCTGCATAAGGGGAAATCACACAGTACTAAACTTTTTCTCTCATCTACAGACAGGGACTGGGTAAGGTACTACTTGCAGTGTGATTCTATCCTAGGTTCCTATTAATAGATAAGAACCGGGTGACTCAATCTTCTTCAGAATTACTTCTCCCAGAACTTAACACCAATTATAGCAAAACGGCAAAAATGTACTGACGTCGTTATATAATGACGTTTCTCTACGACATTTATTTTGAATCAAATGGGACATAAGATTTCCACAAAAAGGAATAAATTTAGAAATAATATTTGGACAAGGTTTAAAGAATTGTAATGCCAAAAATCGAATCTAGACGGTTTATAGCAAAATGACACTAAAGATTATTAAATAGAAGCACACGAAAGGTTTAAAAGATATGAGGATGAACTGAAATGAGTGTCGAAAAGTAACGTTATATCGATGTCGGCAGACAAAACCTAATGCTGAGTTTATCTTAATATTTTAAGGGTATTTTATATCATCAAATGAAATTTTAAGACACAAATCCAAATAAATAAGGATATAAGTATGTCAAATTTTGTTGATAACATTTGACCATTAAAGTTTTTATAGTAGTTGTGAGATTACTTTAGGATCAACCCTCGTGTATAGGGTTTGGTAGTTTAAATGTAGTGCTATTTAATTTTGCTTTCTACTTCTTTTTTATGACTTTTTAACCTTTTCTTTGTCCAGAAGAGGGTACAGGGTATATAATAAAACCAGTGACATAAATGTTATTTATGTCTTTAGTGACATAAATGTTATTTATGTCTTTGAAAAAGCCTATAATAAATTGATTTTTTAAAAACTTTTTCATTATAAAAATACATTTCATCAGAATGTAACAATCATTAGATCAAAAGAGAACAATTTGTGCCAAGCAGAGATTATTGAAAACCCCAAAGATAATCTATTTCTTCATATTTTAATTTTCTTACCACATTCTCCACAGGTCTTTAGACAATGTCGATAAAATCCTGTTTTAGGATGGTCACACATTCCGGAATCTTTTAACTTGCTGCATTCTACTTCGTTGTCATCTTGACATACTGCGTTGTCTAAATGTTAAATATGTCATCATTATGATGGCATGTTTCTGTTCAAGTTATTTTTCTGAAGCGTTTTTCTGATCCCACCTCTAATGTTTTAGAGGTCCGTGTTTGCTCTGTTCCAAAATTTGTATTGTTTAATGGACTTTTGAGCTTGAATACTGTTCGTTATCTCCATACATTTCATGTAATACAATTATGCCTGGCATTTTTATATTAAACATACAAAGTTATGTTTATGACATGCAATCATAAATAATTGTAAAATTGCTGAAACATAGAAAAAAGTAAAATCTTAAGTATAAACTTGATGATGTCAAAATGCGACATATACAACATGCAGTCTATTTAAGCAAGTAAACTTGGTTGCAATTAAGGTGATAATGTTATCGAGTAGCCATATTTGTCATATGTTGTTTACTCTGAAATCATATTTTACTGAAATATTATTGTAAGAAAGTGTATGTTTCCTACATTTTGCCATTGATTTCCATTAGTATCACTGACATACGGATGATCAATTCTATTACGTAGTTTCCTACAAAAATGCATCTTTATTTATGAAGCTAAATTCGATGATCGTGTATTTTATCTCATTCAAAAAATACAATATCAGGACTTACTTATTTTCCTCATTTTAAGCTTAAAATAGTTGATACCAGGTGGTGCAAGCCCATCCCTGTCTGTAGGGCATATAACACTGACATACACGAATGCCTCAAAATTCTCAGAAAGAGTATTGGGAAAGCGCTGTAAAGAAGACACATAATATATATATATATATATATATATATATATATATATATATATATATATATATATATATATATATATATATATATATATATATATATATATATATATATATATATATATATATATATGAGAGAGAGAGAGAGGGAGATGTTTTCTTTTTCAAAATATATTTTATGGCATGTGAGAAAACGTATTGTGATTTATAAGCGTATAGTAATTCCATGTTTTATATAAAATAATAACAATAAAAGTTTAAGAAAACTATAGACTAGACAGTTTCTGCCAGAAAATTACTTACAATGCAGAATTGTGGTTCGTTGTGGTAATCAGCTTCTTTTTGGGCTGATACTATCATGTATGTAAAATTCCTCTGCTTCCAACCAGCCCAACAATGTAGAGTCGTTACTGAAACCAAATTAACATACTTGTTTTTAGATATAAATTTAAAGACTGAAACACAATGAACGCTTTGTCAAAGAGTATTCTTTCTTTCAATTTTTCCTTTAAAAGATTTTCAATAAAATAAGAGCTTTTTTGTTTTGAACGCTTTGGTATGTGTGTATAACTTTTTCAAGGATGTATCTTTCTTATATTTAGTGTATTTAAAAATTCGTAATTTTTAAACAATCAGTAAGACAATATCACCAAGCAATGTATCATTTCATTTAAAATTGATTGTCTTTTTAGTAGCTAGATCAGACATTAGGATTAAAAATTACTGTTCCCAATCTTGATATGTCCACTTTTATTTCAAATATTATAAGTTCATTATTTTGCCTAAAAAGATTATACCACATAAGGTCTATCAGGTAACCCTACTAAATTGAAATAAATAATTTAATTAAAAAACATTGACTGATCCCAATTTCTTCTAATTTTCTTAAATTTCTAAGGAATTCTTTTTCGTTAATTTTTAATACTTCTCATAATCTAAATGTTTCTCATTTTCAAATATGCTGAAGACTTCACATACCGATACAAAAAAAATAATATAATATTAATATTGACCATTAAATAAGACAGATAAACAGTTTGACTGATTTTTTTCACTCAAAATTGCTTAAAGATTGAATGCTTACCTTGTTTAGAAAATCTTATTTTTTAAAAATACATTCTAAAACTGAACACCTTAATTATAAATTTCATTCAGTTAAGAAAATCCTTTAAGACTTTGTTTAAGATGTGAACTTAATTCATAATTCTGTAGTAAACTTGATATATTTTACAACGCTGCTGTTCCGCCAAAAATATAATCCCTGCTAGATTTTAAACTCAGTGTACAGATACCATTCTAATACGGAAGCCCATTTAAGACCTATCAAAAAATATTTTTAAATTCGATATAACGAATTGTCGAATTCGTTATAACGAATTTAATTCGTTATGACAATCCCATTGCTCAATGACCCTGAGTGCCGAGTAAAGGTCTATATTTGAAGCCCTTCACCGGTATACGTCTCTCTATGAGTGAAAATTCTCGAAAGGGACGTAAAACAATATATAACGACCAAAGAATTTGCAATATGATGACTTTCAACGAGGCTGTAGAAAGCCTTTTAACATCAGTATGTTTGTCAGTAGCCTTTCTTGTTTAAAGGTTTATGCAGAACATGCTTAGTGCTCTTGCGTACCAAATCAGTTGGGAGGCAAAAACATCATAATTTATGCATGTGACAGTAGAATATATATATATATATATATATATATATATATATATATATATATATATATATATATATATATATATATATATATATATATATATATATATATATATATTGTGTTGACCTGATTTTCAAAGACTATGTAGGTATTGTCAATTTGACTATGAAGACATCTTTATAATATCAACTTCAGACTACTTGTGTGTAGAATCGGAACAATTTTTAATAAAGTAATTACATGTATGTACATGTAGATGACCAATTACATGATCTGAAAATTTCCGAGTTCAATTTTCATAACAGAAGCAGTTGTCTGTGATGTCAAAAAGCCAGGACTTTTTCATGAGGAGTGCTTGTATAAAATGTTGAAAAATCAAACTTCTTGATAAATTTTAATTTAAAAAGCTGGAGAGAGAGATAGAGAAAGAAGCAGAAATATTTCAGTACTGATTTTTTACTTAGATGTTTGAAAATGTCTCCCAAGAGAACATTCTGTACTTCTAAACTTCTGCTGTTCACAACAAATAACAGACTGTTAACACAGACTGCATCTTGTGTTCAAAACAAATACATGTACCAAAACAACTTGTGTTAAAGGCAACAACCAACTACGACGACATTTTACAGAAATACACACCAGAACTGGTCTTTGAAAATGGATTGCATTCACTCTTCACTGGCGCAATAAAGACTATACCACCACCCTTGCTACACTCTACTTCAACAGAAGAGTTCCTCCATTCATTTTCGCATGTATCCTGAATATTAAAAGAACAATTATCAAGCATAATTAACAAAATTTAGTTACAAGATGTACTTTTAGAGATGAAATTTTGAAGGAACGTGGTGTTAATACAGATGTTATATACGTAAATCTTGTATTTGGCGAAATTCTCCGACGGGTAAAGGATTTCATAATTATCACATCTGAAATTACCAAGGTTATCAGCCGTGTGTTAGCGCAATTAAAAATATCATATTCAGTTTGTTAAAATTTAGCACCTGCCTGATAATGCTCTTAATTAAATAGCGAGACAGTAGAAACTTTGTTATCCGACGCCTGTGAATTCTGACCCTTATTTCCATTTCCACTTTGCTCTTTTCCATGTTCTTTACACTGTCTGTCCCCGAGGATACTTATCATTCGATACTTATTCATTCATGAGTAGTACAGCTATAGAATACTTTCGTTATCTCCGTTTAAATTTTAACCATCGAACATGTATCTCTACTGGTGGACAGTCTGTCCCCGAGGATACTTGTCGTTCGATAGTTATTCATTCATGAATAAAAATACCGTTCGTCACCTCCGTATTTAACTGTACAATCCGACATCACACAATTTGTGTTCCAGTGTATGTCGGATTAGACAGGTTTCACTGTTGATTAATATAATAATAAATCAATAATAGAATAATGATGTAATTAATATTCATTAAAAAGGTTAGGCTAACCTTCATTGTAAGCCCACTTATGACCCTCAGTGAAAACCCACCAGAAATAGGACAAGTGTACGCCGATGGTTTCCAAGTGGCTAGGTTAGAAAAGTAAAAGTAAGATAAAAATCTAAGAAAGGATAAGTACTTTATATACATTTGATGGATTTATAGAAAAAAAGGTAATTTGGTGCTTCATTTTGCTAATATTATATTTAAAAAAACTCTCTGTGATATAGATTTGTTTTTTATTTTTTCTAAAAGCTATAGTTTACAATAGTCTCCCACAGAGTTTATTTCTTCGTAGTTGACTGAAAAGTGTAGAATTTACTTTCAAATTAATCAAATTTCAGACGTACACAGCAGAGACACAAATGATTTATGTATAGATAAAATTTTTATTAGTAAATTTTCTATTACCAATCCAGGGCCATTCGTCGAACACCATTTTGTCGTTGTCACACAACCTAGGAACATTTCTCCCGTTGATTGGACCTGTAAAACAAAACAGTTATATATTGTCGTCGCCATACAACCTAGGAACATTTTTTCTGTTGACTAGACCTGAGTCAAAATAATGTCTCCTTTGAGATCAAACGACACAGATTTCAGATTTCTGTGGGCGATGATGGACAGAAAATGTTAAGCGTTACGAAAACGCCGATCAGATGCCACATCAAGTCACTTATGGTCTTCCGTAGATACTCTTGTTTGTTTAATTATCTCTAAGCTCCTGGGTTTAAGGATTTCCTGATCAATAGGTAATTTAATTAAGAAGAATTAACTGCTTTTAGGATGTATAAAGAGGCACAACATGTTGAATTCACTTGAGTATCTTTTTATCATTAAGGAAACTGCCAGTTCTTCTTGGGTATCGAGGGAATCATCAAGACGTCCAAATAATCGCACGATCGTAGAAATTTCTCAAGATTTAGATTTTTTTTTCAAATAATGCCATCAGGTACAAATACTCGTGCAATATAGAAATAGGCGAGAACAAATCGTACAGCGGTTTTTACATTGCTCCAAAAATGTAATTTGCTGTTTATTAAGGTCTTCCGTCTTCACGGAAGACCTTATAGTGATTCTACTGTTTCTTATTAAGGTCTTCCGTCTTCACGGAAGACCTTATAGTGATTCTACTGTTTCTTATTATTAAGGTCTTCCGACTTCCTTCGGAAGACCTTATTGTTTTCCGTCTGTTTTCTATTATTATTAAGGTCTTCCGTCTCCAACGGAAGACCTTATTGTTTTCGTTCGGTTTCTTTTTCCCTATTATTATTAAGGTCTTCCGTCTCCAACGGAAGACCTTATTGTTTTCGTTCGGTTTCTTTTTCCCTATTATTATTATTATTATTATTATTATTTTTCTTCCAACCGATTTTGTGCACGCGATTTCTCAGAAACGGCTGGGCCGATTTGCACCAAACTTTCAGATGTAAAAGATATTCAATTGATCTTGATAGGTTTTTTTATTTTTTGATGACGTCACTTCCGGTCGTGAGATATTGACGCTTTTCTGATTTTCAGAGGGTCGGCTTGTCCTGGAAACTCCTCCTAAACGACTAAAGATATTGAGTTAAGATTTTCAGTGAAGATATAAGAAAGATTGTAGATGTGCAATTGGGCATCTATATCTTTCCAGCTCAAATGGCGTTGAAGCTCGCCTGGGCTCGAAAAATAGGCTCACAAACATCTCGCAAAATTTGAAACGTTTTCTTTTATATCTTTTTACCTGTAAATATTTTGTTAAAACATGTATTACAAAAGATGTGTAAAATGATAAGACCTTTCATTTGATATCAAGAAAAAATGGCGGATCCCTCAAATTAGGGGCTCAGAGGGGCCAAAAGTCTTTTATGTATAACTCTTGAACGATCAATATTTTGTTATAAATTACTGAAGCAAAAATGTCAATCTTAACATTCTGCAACTATATGGTTTAAAATTTTGATCATATGTTACGCAATAAGGGGCCAAAAGGGGCCAGAATGCTAAATCTTTGACGCTTTATATCGTAAAAAGGGGGAATATTTTGAAAAGCAATATTGAACAAAAGATGTTCAGAATAATGTTTCAAACAATATGCAACGTTTCAATTTTTGCAAAAAGGCCCCATTAAGGAGTTGAAGGGCTGGCCCCTAAATATTTCAATTCAGCATATCTCGAAAACGAAAATAGATTTCTGAATAGTTGTTGAACAAAAAATCTTTAAAATCACAAGACCTTTCAATTGATATCAAGAAAAAAGGGCTGATCCCTTAAATTAGGGGTTCAGAGGGGCCAAAAGTCTTTTATGTATAACTCTTGAACGATCAATATTTTATTATAAATTACTGAAGCAAAAATGTTTATCTTCTCGATTTGCAACTATATGGTTTAAAATTTTGATCATATGTTACGTAATAAGGGGCCAAAAGGGGCCAGAATGCTAAATCTTTGACGCTTTATATCTCGAAAAGGGGGAATATTTTGAAAAGCAATATTGAACAAAAGATGTTCAGAATAATGTTTCAAACAATATGCAACCTTTCAATTTTTGCAAAAAGGCCACATTAGGGAGTTGAAGGGCTGGCCCCTAAATATTTCAATTCAGCATATCTCGAAAACGAAAATAGATTTCTGAATAGTTGTTGAACAAGAATTTTTTAAAATCACAAGACCTTTCAATTGATATCAAGAAAAAGGGGCTGACCCCTCAAATTAGGGGCTCAGAGGGACCAAAAGTCTTTCATGTATAACTCTTTAACGATCAATAATTTGTAATACATTACTGAAGCAAAGATGCTTATCTTAACGATTTACAACAATATATGATAAGATATTGATTATACGTTACGTAATAAGGGGTCACAAGGGGCCTGAATGCTAAATCTTTGACGCTTTATATCTTCAAAAGGGGGAATATTTTGATAATCAATGCTGAACAAAAGATACTCAGAATAATGTTCTAAACAATATGCACCTTTTCAATTTTTGTCAAGCGGCCCCATTAAGGACTTGGAGGGGCGGCCCCTAAATATTTCCATTCAGCATATCTCCACAACGAAAAGAAATTTCTGAATAGTTGTTGAACAAAAAATCTTTAAAATTACAAGACCTTTCATTTGATATCAAGAAAAAGGGGCTGACCCTTCAAATTAGGGGCTGAGAGGGGCCAAAAGTCTTTCATCTATAACTCTTTAACGATCAATAATTTGTAATACATTGCTGAAGCAAAGATGCTTATCTAAACGATTTACAACAATAAATGATAAGATTCGAATCATATGTTACGTAATAAGGGGTCAAAAGGGGCCAGAATGCTAAATCTTTGACGCTTTATATCTCGAAAAGGGGGAATATTTTGATAAGCAATACTGAACAAAAGATGGTCAGAATAATGTTCTAAACAATATGCACTCTTTCAATTTTTGTCAAACGGCCCCATTAAGGACTTGGAGGGGTGGCCCCTAAATATTTCCATTCAGCATATCTCCACAACGAAAGGAAATCTCTGAATAGTTGTTGAACAAAACATTTTCAAAATCACAAGACCTTTCAATTGATATCAAGAAAAAGGGGCTGACCCCTCAAATTAGGGGCTCAGAGGGGCCAAAAGCATGTCATCTATAGCCATTTGGTAATGTTATATAAATCAAAAGAATGAAATCTAATTAGGGGAATCTATATATTATTATCTTTTAACAAAGATCATAGTCAAAATCATATCTCATCTTATCGAAAAATTGGACGGAAGACCTACTCGTTGCTCGCAACGAGATCTCATCTAGTTATTATTATTATTATTATTATTCTTACCGATTTTGTGCACGCGAGTTCTCGAAAACGTCTTGGCCGATTTTCATGAAACTTTCAGATCTGATAGGTATTGATCTGAACCTTATTGGAAATTTTTTTCGTTGATGACGTCACTTTCTATCTTGAGATATTTAGGATTTTCTGATTTTTAGAAGTTCAGCTTGTCCTGGAAACTCTTCCGAAACGACTTATGATATTGAGGCAAGATTTTCAGTGAAGGTAGGGGAAGGTTTGTAGATTTGCAGGCAGGTGTCCAAATCTCTCTAGCGCAAAAGGCGCCGAAGCTCGGTAGGGCTCAAAAAATGTCTCAGAAACATCTCACAAAATTTTACACCTTTTCTTTCATATCTTCATACCTGTTAAGAATTTGTAAAAACATATAGAAGAAAAGTTGTGCAGAATGATACGACCTTTCATTTGATATCAAGAAAAAGGGGCTGATCCCTCAAATTAGGGGCTCAGAGGGGCCAAAAGTCTTTCATCTATAACTCTTTAACGATCAATAATTTGTAATACATTACTGAAGCAAAGATGCTTATCTTAACGATTTACAACAATATATGATAAGATTCTGATCATATGTTACGTAATAAGGGGTCACAAGGGGCCAGAATGCTAAATCTTTGACGCTTTATAGCTCGAAAAGGGGGAATATTTTGATAAGCAATACTGAACAAAAGATGGTCAGAATAATGTTCTAAACAATATGCACCCTTTGAATTTTTGTTAAACGGCCCCATTAAGGACTTGGAGGGGTGGCCCCTAAATATTTCCATTCAGCATATCTCCACAACGAAAAGAAATCTCTGAATAGTTGTTGAACAAAAAGTCTTCAAAATCACAAGACCTTTCAATTGATATCAAGAAAAAGGGACTGACCCCTCAAATTAGGGGCTCAGAGGGGCCAAAAGTCTTTCATCTATAATTCTTTAACGATCAATAATTTGTAATTCATTACTGAAGCAAAGATGCTTAATTTACCGATTTACAACAATATATGATAAAATTCTGATCATATGTTACGTAATAAGGGGTCACAAGGGGCCAGAATGCTAAATCTTTGACGCTTTATATCTCGAAAAGGGGGAATATTTTGATAAGCAATACTGAACAAAAGATGGTCAGAATAATGTTCTAAACAATATGCACCCTTTGAATTTCTGTTAAACGGCCCCATTAAGGACTTGGAGGGGTGGCCCCTAAATATTTCCATTCAGCATATCTCCACAACGAAAAGAAATCTCTGAATAGTTGTTGAACAAAAAATCTTCAAAATCACAAGACCTTTCAATTGATATCAAGGAAAAGGGGCTGACCCCTCAAATTAGGGGCTCAGAGGGGCCAAAAGTCTTTCATCTATAATTCTTTAACGATCAATAATTTGTAATTCATTACTGAAGCAAAGATGCTTATCTTACCGATTCACAACAATATATGATAAGATTCTGATCATATGTTACGTAATAAGGGGTCACAAGGGGCCAGAATGCTAAATCTTTGACGCTTTATATCTCGAAAAGGGGGAATATTTTAATAAGCAATACTGAACAAAAGTTGGTCAGAATAATGTTTTAAACAATATGAAACCTTTCATTTTTGTCAAACGGCCCCATTAAGGACTTGTAGGGGTGGCCCCTAAATATTTCCATTCAGCATATCTCCACAACAAAAAGAAATCTCTGAATAGTTGTTGAAC